AGTGTTCCGCGGCCTGTCGACTACCTAACGCACCCCTCCACTTTTCTCATCCGGGCTTGGGACCGGCAACGGCAGTGTTTAAAGCTAAATCCTGCCAAACGGCAAAAAATGCCTCCCAAATTTCTGAGCTCCCGTTAAATCCCAAAATGACGCCGATTGGCGACAAATCCAGGTTTTACTAAATCCTGTGAATCGGCGGATTTAGTAAGTCCGGAACAGCCAAGATGAAGAATGGCGCGAACAGGCTTACCTTCCTCAATGGTTTCTTGGTAGGAGCGGAGAGGATGGATGAGAAAGATGGGAGTTTCGGTGGTCACTGTAAGCCGTGATTCCCTCGTTTCCTTCCCAGCTAGCTCTAATGGCGGTTGTATCGTTCACAAAGGCGATGATTTTGGGCGAAACCAGTGGGGGGAGTGACATAAGCGAGGGTTTACGGCAGAGATGGGAAGTTTGGACCGGGAGAGGGCTGAGAGTGGGAGGATGTCGGAGAGGCTTCCGGTGGGGGGAATAGGAGGAATAAGGAGATAAATTTGTGGTTTTTATTTATCTTTATTTTACTTAGTTTTATTATTTTAAATGACTAATAATTGATAGATCATTTATATATTATCAAATTAATTATATTTAAATAAATCTGTATGTAATTATTCAATAGTTAATTAATATATAAAATTTTATTTTAAATTTTAAATTATTTAATAAAATTATAAATAAATTTAAATTTATAAACTTAATAATTAATTAATATTAAATTAGTGATTAATAAGCAATTATCTTAGAAAGTAATTTTTTTTTACATCTAATTTTTTGTTAATGTAAATGCCTCTTTTTTATATTTTTTAAGGCTTTTGATACTCATTTATATTTTTTTATTTAATATTTATCTTTGGATATTTAATAAATTCTGTTAAATCATTTTAAAGTTGTGGAACAATTTCTCAAGATTTATTAAGATATAGTTATTAACATAATAAACAGTTTTCAAGATTAAACCACCTTTGGATTTGATAAACCCAGATTTTCGGGATTCACTAAGTCGTATTTAAATTAAATTATACTTGCAAACAAATAGGCCCTTAATTAACTTCCAGATTCACAACACATATTCCTTCAGTTGGATTTATCTTAGCTAAGGAAAAAAAAGTTGATATTTAGCAGTGAGATAGACCCGATCTGAAATAAATCTAAAATTTTTTAAAAAGGGTTACTTCTTCAAATACATCGATTCCCTCTCTTTTTCTCCTCTTATCTTTTTTTTCTTCGCTATCACTTCTTAGGTTGAGCCCTACTCTCAACTGAAAAAGTCTTATCTCTTATAATCTTTTTAGTTAACTAATTTCAATTTATCTTATTTCCCATGGTCCTCGTATCGAGTTTCTTTCTCTAATTAATAATTTTTTTATGGCTCAAAGCATAGGACACTAGCGTTGGCAGGGTGTACGACTGACAAGTATGCTTTTTATGGTTATTTGAAGCAAGTTATTGCTAGAATTTTGAAATTAAATGGTGTGGTTGTACTTTTAACTTTATCTAAAGGTTTCTTTCTTTTTAACCTTAATTGTCTTTGGGATTTTGACATGGTATTGGCTTGTGGTCCGTGATTTATCAACAATAAATAATTATATTTTTTTTTTTAAAAAGGCCTTAAGATTTTAAACATGTCAAAGGGATTTTAAAGAAATGTCCATATAGGTTAAATATCTTGATTTACCTTATATGTTGTTGGATGGGGCTGGTATTTCAGAAATAACTAGTCAGATAGATGTTTCATTGGTTGTTGAAAGTTTAACATCTAAACTTTCAATACTTACTTTTACCAGGGTTAACATTCAGATAAATGTAAACTCCTCCTTTCCTAGTTTCATTCCTCTAAATATTAAGGGCAGAAGTTTAACTTACATGTGTTTTATGAAAGTAAGTCTTCTCCCTGTAAGACATGTATATTTGCTCATGATCATCAGTCTTATCCTAAGGTTTTGCATGTTTAGTTTACTTTTGTGGCTCCTATATATAAAGGAAATAGTAATTTTAGGATTATAATAACAAAAAATTTTATAGGAGCAAGAGTGGGCTCCCACTTCATGTTGTGGTTTCTATTATTAATAATAACACTACTATTTTTTATTTTAATATTCATGCTAATGTTTTATCTAATAGCACTGAAAATACTGGTGATAATGTTGATTATCATCATATTAAATCTATGTTGTTCATAGTGTTATTATTGATCCTAAAAGTTCTGTTTTACCTCTAATAAAATCTTCTAGTGCTATTGAGCTAAAACAAAATTTAAGTTTACAAAATGCTTTACTTAATGCAAATGAGAGCTTTGTTTCACTTCAAATTTATCTAATGTTAATGCAAATGAAAGTTTAGTTTTTATTCTTTTTAATTCTAAGTTTGGTGTGATAATATCATTGCTCAAAAATCTATTATTATAAGTATTCCTATAGTTATACTAAGAAATTGTATTCCTAATATGCTCAATGCTGCTCAAAATATTGTTTCTGTCTCATTGCCCTATGCTTCTAAGGCAAAAAAAAGGTAAAACCAGAATGGATAATGTTATATGTTAGTTTTCTTATATGTTTCTTTTTACTTGTTCTTTTGATTATTATGTAATATGTTAATATTTTAGCTTGAAATTTTCATGGGTTTGGTAATGAAAACCCATGTTGCTGATAGTGAAAAATTCATTTGTGAGAATCATGCCCATATGATTAGCCTAATCGAAACTATTTTTTCTCTCTCTTCTATATCTGATAATATTTCTATCAATAAGTATATGCTTTTTAATAATGAGGGAAATGTAAATAACTTTGATATTACTAAAAATGGTGGTATTTGAATCAAATAAAATGTCGATATTATTTCTTTTACTGTTTTAGAAGTTAAATCTCAATACATTCATGGGCATTGTTGACCTCACTTTTGGTTGAGGTCTA